AACGTAACCCGGCACATGCTAACCTAACCAGTAGTTACTTCTTCTAACGTGTTACAATATAGCCAAAAATAACCGAGCCTCACGTAACATAAGGTAGACGTGCCGAAACGTGACATGGTTATCACGCGTGCTCAAGCGTGACGGACCGTGTCTAAGCGTGAACTGCGCTCACGTCGTGACAAGGGATCACCATAAGTGTCGAATTGTGACGAAATTTTACAAAGCGTGAGCAAGCGTGACTAAGCGTGACAAAGCGTGATTAAGCGTGATTAGGCGTGATTTACTGTAAAGGCGTGACGAGATGTTTCCAGAAGAGTCAAAAGATGACGAATTTAAACAAAGCGTGACCATGCGTGACAAAGCGTGACTAGTCGTGACGTACTGTAAATTCGTTACGAATGGTGGCCATAAGTGTCGAATCGTCTCAAAAATTTTCAAAACTTATCGAATGTAACAAAATACATAATGCACTGGGACTTCATTATTTCGAAGCGAGATTATTCATCTTGCAAGAATGACATTTAGCTCTTTTTGTAGTAGCAAGTTTGGAATTGAACAAGCGTTTTTACAGGGAAACTAGTTTTCTTTGTCGTTGAATCAGATTTATGCGAATTATCTTAAAAATACAGTTTACATTAGAGAATATTTTATCTTACACTCTTTAAGTTTTTTCACAGTTGATACTAGATCGTCATTTTCTGTATGGATAAATCCTTATTTAGAAGTTGGAGGAACCGACTCATGTCGTTTACGATGGATTATGAACGTAATATAATGTAATCCGTCCCATCGCCGAACATGATCCCGCCTGAAGCGAAGGCCACCGTAGTTACGTTGTGGCTGTGACGGGCTTACAGTTCGACAATTCATAAACCAATTTCCGCTGTTTTTGTCACTCGGTTAATTGGCACGTTCGAACTTCTAAGGAGCCCTCGACGGACGTTCGGAATTTACAAGTATCAAGTTCAGTATTAATTTAAAAGCATCAGATTTTAAATTGAGAAACTGTATATTACCCTATGGCATTGCAAGTATTAACCAAATCGCTTAGATTATTAGCCAAGACATTTTAAATGATAATGCCACACTGTGAAGTGAAGATACAGTTTTGGAGAAGTAAATTTTGGTTCCATTATGGTAAAATAACGGCGCCGAGACAGAATATTTCATCGTATTTAGTTACCAAGTTGCCTTAAATATCTTTATCGGAAATCTAACGCAGGATTTGTGGATTAAGGCCTTTAGACTTGTATCGTGCTTACTTTTCGAGCTACAGGTAACGCCCTCAACGGGACAAATATGCTGTCTCAGTCTTTGGGGCTGAACATCGATGTAGTGTGTACTTTAATAAATGTTGGTACTCGCCTACGAATATATACACACCGTCAGAAGACGAAAATCGACAAAATCACCGCGCAGTCACCCCAAGATCTGCTATTATTCTGCCTACAAATGTCTTGACGGAATAATTTCCATCTGCAGGGATCATAACTACTTCTGGGCGTATGATCGGGGAGCGGCTGAGTGCTTCTGGTACGCGTCTCAACACCTCCAGTCCGGTGCAGTCCGCCTACCACGGAAACAAAAGCAGCACGGAAAGCGTACCTCGCTCCAGCACCGGAGGACTCAAGTCTGTGTCTCGGCAGAGTCTCCTGGACATCGTGAGCTGTCGACTCGGGGTCGGTCGAAACAAGCAGCAGCAGCACCACCAACAACAACAACAACACCACCAGGTACTAGCCAGCAATTTCTGTGCCTCTCTCTCCATGTTAGTCGACATTCCTGTGGCGAAAGAGTTCTTCTCTATGTTATTCGGAGAACTATACAATTGTTCTTTCCAGAACACGTCGTAAATATTAGGATACGTAAAATGGAACTATACAATTGTTCTTTCCAGAACAAGTCGTAAATATTAGGATACGTAAAATAAGTGTTTGCATGTTGCTTTATATGACCGTGTCGCATGCTATGTGTTGTTAGTTGAACGAACTAATATATCAACAAAGATTAACTCAGCTGATATCTCTGGGAATTACACAACAAAATTTTTTGTAAAATTGTATACACTAGTGACAATTATTATGAACCTGACAGTACGTTCTGACACTTTTGTTAGTTTTGTGAGTAACTAAATAATTAATTTTATCTAGATAAATACTCCCATAAAAAAATCGTAGCTGATGTTATAACATTTGGGTACTTTGCCCATAGGAATACAATTTTTTTTTATAAAATTGCCCTCATAAATGATGTATTGTTAGGTAAAGGTAACAAGTTGTTTAGAACTAGGTTGGTGTTCCCGAAATTCTCCTTACTAATATAATCGAATAAAAGACGATTTATGCTACCAAAATGCAGTACTTACCATTTGGTGACATGGACTAGTGTCCTAAGTATTTGCTTCTATACAATTAACAATGCCCATTTTGATCAACAAATGATGTTTAGGGACTTTAATCTCATTTCCCTAACGATATAGAATGGACGTAATTTGGCCACTTTAACGAAAAGAAAAATAAATAAAATTGATACATTAGTATGTTAGATTTTTATGAATTTATTTGTTTAAAGAAGTATTTTCTTCTGAGGGTTTAAGTTACTTGAAATCGAGGATAATGATTGCCAATGGAGAACTCAACTTGATATTTACCATTTTTTCTGGTAATGTGCATCTGTAAAAAGTAAGCATATTATCAAGGTTATTATCAAGTTAAATTTTTGTTTTGAACGAACCTACGTTAAATATCGCGAACTTCTAACTACATTATAGACTAAACGAAGTATGTGTGTTTGTGAACTCTGCAAGCACAGATATTTGAATTCTTTTTTAAATATGATAGTGCCCATTCTGTCACTTGGACATCCCTGAAGTATGTACGTAGTGACCATCTTTAACGCCTTTGCGTTGCAGAGGACGTCATCATATTGACATGACCACCAATTTAATTGTAACCATATACATTCATACATCAGTGTCAACCTGTTTTTCGTTTAGTAATTAATTAGTTTTTTTTTTGAGAACTGTGCGTTTGCACACAAAAAACCGAAGTGCGTTTAATTGAAAGAGACATATTGCATAGGACAACACCAAAGCATAATTGAATATGGTTGCTATAGTCTGTGATAACTCTTATTGCTGTGAAAGCTATAGTTTTTTTCTTCTTAATTTATATTTATTTTTGGTCGTAATTGCGTTTGTCTTCCTCCGAGATATTGGTAAGGTGTGAACCGAATTCATGCAGTTCAGGAAATATCCTAAGATCATTAACCGTGGATACAGTTAGTAGGGTTAATTTCAGTTTACTTCGCTAAAAGGATTAAAAAAATTTGTTGGTTCATGGTGTAATAATAACAGTAGAATTTGAGGTTATCACAGCGGTGAGTATGAATATGGCTGTCTTCTGGGTTGTTGCTTCGTGTAATCTTGTAGAAGTTTGTAGACGTTTCAGAGGTTTTTGCTGCCTCCATCATCAGGGCTTAACTTGGGATCTAATCCATGGTTGTCTAATGACACGCGTTCTCCTGTTAGTCGAATTGAGAGAGACTCATATGTCTATTTGAAGAGAGATGACAGAAAATTCAACATACTATCCTGTTCATTTGGAGCCCGAGCTGTTCAACACAGAACGTCAGCACATTATGAGTAGACCATCAAGTCCCGTTGTAGATTAAGTAAGTTACGAAGAGAGGCGAACTTATTTAAAACACCAAGACTCGATAAATACTTCTTCATTATTGTGTAAGCAAGTCAGATGTACATTCGCGTTGTAATATTATCTCTTAATGTGGTCCAGAAGCCAGGATGAAGGCAGTAAGTCCTCCGAAACACTAGCACCACTTTCGAGACTGTCCCGCGCCGTAACAGGACACAACTGACCACGTATTCAACGTCCTGGAAACCTCGAACTTCACACAGAACATAAATTTACTATCAGTCTGTGTACAGCTGGAATTCTGTATGGGATATCTTCACGCTCTGTTTAATCTGTCCCACAAGAAAGTGGACACGAACTCAAACAAGTTCCTGCTAAATGTAGTCCAGGTATTTTCCTTCATATCAGAGACCGACAGTTTTGTTATGAGAACAATGGAAGGCTGTTCCATGGAGATGCATTGTTCTGGAATCTGTGTTTGACGTTCGATGAAAACTCTGAACGGTATATAGCCTATATATACCGCCCATCTGTCTGCTCCGTGCAGGAGGGGTTAGTGCCACTTATGAGAAGAATGGCGAAACTGATACAAATGCGAATCGTTGCTATTTTTTTTTCGTTATGATTTCATATAATCCAACAGTATTTAAACTGAAGTTTATTCAGTCTAATGACGATACGTGTTGTTGAAACAGAAGGTTTTGCCTGGAATACCTGAAGTTTCACTTCAATGGAAACACACAACGCTTGTTTACTCATGTGCGTCAGAGATCATAATACAAGCTACTGTGAAATAAACAGGAGTAGTGTAAATATTCACCCAAGTCTGAAATTTGTTCTACGTTCTCTCCCGTTGTTTTCATGTATTACAGAAACAATCACAGTTCAACAGTAGACGTACCATTACTTAGTAGGACTCTACGTCATTGTACCTCTGTATACTGTCAGGGCAGTGACTGCGTTTACCCTCGAAGACTTGTAGTCAACATTACTTGATATCATGAGGGGTAGAATAAAGCAAGTACAGTCTGACAAAAGGAAACCTGTTGTGAGCTTCGAAATAACTTTCCTTGTTCACGATGTTTCTGTAAAGTTTCCGCGTTTCAGTAATTGTATCAAACCGCACATATCCTTTACCTCTAATCTGATTAGTTTAATGGTGACTTCTTCTAACATGTTTCCAGTTTCTAGTCCTCAGTTAACTACGGTAATGACAGGTCGGTTCCTTGTTGTTTGCAGTCTATACTACGCGTCGTACGTCGTCTACCAAAAACTCAGAAGTTCGCGAGGCCACGTCCATTAGCTTGTCATACTCCTTGCAAAATTAAACGTCAACAAGGCTTAAAGTTCGTAAACATTGCACTACATGGATTAGTGTCATTTATTAGAAGTTTGTTCGGTATGAAGATTTCTGTCTTCTGGGTTGTTGCGCTGTGTAGTCTGGTCGATGTTTACCAACATTTCAGAGGTCATACTGCCTCCGCCATCAGAGTATGAAGATTTCCGTCTTCTCGGTTGTTGCGCTGTGTAGTCTGGTCGATGTTTACCAACATTTCAGAGGTCATACTGCCTCCGCCATCAGAGTATGAAGATTTCCGTCTTCTCGGTTGTTGCGCTGTGTAGTCTGGTCGATGTTTACCAACATTTCAGAGGTCATACTGCCTCCGTCATCAGGGCGATGAATGTGCCAATTGACATCGACCAGGCTACACAGCGCAACAACCGAGAAGACGGAAATCTTCATACTCACCGCTGTGAAAACCCCATATCATACATTCGTTCGGTATATTCTTATAAAAATGAATATAAATAACTTTACAAATATTACGAGCTCGTATGGTATGTTACGAACAAATCGTTTTTGTAAAAGAAAAAATGTAACGTTAGATGTCAGATGCGCTATCGACATTCTGAGTTAGTTTTTATGCAATTTTCCTTCCATATAAATTAAAGCGAACAGAATATTTAATGACGCATGGTTATAACCTAATGACGGCGAATAGCTGTGCTGACTGTATCAGATGGCCGATGAATCACGCGTGCTAATATGGATGTTGAGAACGTGTAACGTTAGACACGCAATTTAATACGAGCATATCAAGTATCACACCTTTTCCTTTTTTAAATCGCTGTGATAATTGTTCGTGGTAGATATGCACAAAATAACACAATTTTAACACTGTAACAATTTCGTCTCCCACTTATTTCTGTGTGGTTATAGTCGCAATATTAATGAGGTAATCGGATTACAAGCTGGCTCATTTCATTTGTTGTTCTGGTACAGTTCAATATCGTTTCTCGGCTTTTTTTTACACGGTGGAACGCCGAAGACTAATGCCGATTTGGTTTCGGTAGCTTCATATTATCTTCAATACCTTCGGCACACTACTTGAATGTTTTTTTACGAGACCCCCCATATTAATGACTATGCCTACCATAATAGATTGGTATCTGACGTATCCATGATTATGACGAACCCCTGTTCCAGATTATTTAATAGTATGTAAAAGACACATTTTTAAAACAATTAGCACTGGTATTATGTAAAGTCACGATAGGACTTTCATCCAAAAAATAAATACGTAATCAAAAATAAAACACGTGCTACAAGCGGCACTGTCACTAAGTCTGATTCAAAAAATTCATGTGAATGTATAAATAAAATATATCGGTAGATGGCTGTCTTCTATCAGATTACACTGCGCAAGAACCCAGAAGACAGAAATCTTCAGACTCACCGCTGTGAAAACCTCAAATCTTACAATCTACTTGCCGCTTGGATTGTGTGCGTTAGCTGGAAGCCTGCAGATTCGTGTTCAGATTACCCGCGTTACAGCGGTGATGGAGAAGTTGCCGCATAAGCGCGGCGAACATTTCTTGTCGTTTTCACACTTCGCTATCCTGATTCCTCTGTCGCCGTTTCCCTAGTTATTTAAGGCCGTCGTCAGATCTTATTTGCAGTTGGTACAGCATCGTTGGACAAGCAAGCAGTCTCTTTTTATCAGCAGATATTTTCTCTTATTCTGAAGAAATATTTGTAATGAAATATTCGTTTTTGCACAACCGTTGTTCAAGATCAACAGCATAGTATCTAAAGTTTTTTTCTTCAGGATTTTAGACTTTATTCAATGACGTTAAGAAACAAAGTGTTGAAGACGTATAAAAAGTGTAAAATTGTGATTTTTCAGATAATACATTCCTTTGTTTTGTGAGAATTAAATAAACCTTATCACCTTCTCAATAGTTTCAGTGATAATTGTTTAATATCTTATATAAACGAATTATTCTACGTGTTTCTTCTCGTAAGGTCCCAGCCGTTTCAAAATTCTTGTTCACACTCTTCAGCACTGTTTATACCGCGTCACAATTGACTTATTAATCATGCCACCATTTATATTCAATCAACTTGGAGAACAATAATTAATAAATACAAGCAATATTAAATAATATTAATAATAATAATAATAAAGAAAGATATCGGAGTAATAACAAATGAACGAAGAGAAATTTATTTTCTTAATAGGAATGTTTGTAATCAAGACGTATCCAGACCAATAACAGTCTAATAAAAATAAGATTTCCCCCAGTAGCAAGTGTGATGTTAACAGTAATGAAATAACAGACCCCACGCAATGAAAAACATATAAGGAGAAGCTTGATTTTCCAAGCTCTTATAAACTATCTCGGAAACGAATATCTGCATGATAGACCTAGTGCTGTGACGTGGATTTGATTGTTTTTGTTTATGAAATAAATTATCTGCGTTTCCACGGATTCTTTAAATAAACAAGTGTAGTTACTTTTACGGTAAGGTGGTATCTCCGCCACGGTGGTCTAGCGGTCAGAACACTAGCCTTGTAAGCCTGGGGTCCCGGGTTAAATTCCCGGTGGTGCTCAAATTTATAACTTGTGTTGGGCAAGGCTGTGGTCTAGGCATCACGGAGTTTTCCTCCGTGGCATCCCAACAATTTCTCCATTCACACACAGAAGAAGGCAATGGCAAACCACTTCTGGATCATCTGCCAAGAACGTATATGAACAGGTCCCAGTCCGAGAAAAGGATGGAAGGATCCTGTTCATATGGACCTGTCGTCAGACAGAACACTACAAAAAATAAAAAAGGTGGTATAATATCATATAGGCATACAAGTTCGGTCATCACAAGGAAAATACTGATTACTGTTGTTAATAAGTTTGTCAGAACTGCGAGCTTTAGTAATATCGATTTAGTGACATTTCGACTAAGCAACTCCATTACATTTTGCTTCTAATAAGCTGTGGCGTGATCGTGGACCATAGAAATCAATAAGGATAAGTGTCAAGGTCGTTTGTTTATCCTGGGGACTTGGACCGATTGAGACTTTTCTTACTTTGAACGGACGGAAGATGCCATTTGTAAACGAAGTGAATAATCTCGGTGTAATCTTTGATAAAATCATTCCACGGAGATTACGCATAAAAATATCGAAAGCAAGCTATTAAGCGGTCCCTCGATAAAGTTATCATTATATCAATAATGACTTATGTCTGCACCAGGCACCCATATTTTGAAACAGCGGCTCCTACAAAACAAGGTTCTGTTCACCACTGGCAATTCTGTAAATCGCATACCAGCCCGCGATTTGCATTCGGCTTTAAAAATTCCACACGTTTGCGAAATCATCGTATTCCAAATGTCCGCGTTAATGGACGAGGTGAAGTCGAACACAGAAACTGTAGTAAGCTTAACCCTTCGAAGCCGAAGATCGTCTAAATATTATTTATGAATTCAGTCCGTACCGCGAAGAAAACACTACACCTCACCATTACGAAAATCAGCTGGTTAACCCTTTGAAGCCGAAGCTCGTCTTCATAATATTTACGAATCCAGACCGTACCGCGAAGAAAACACTTCACTTAACCATTAGAAGTCGAATCAGGCGGTACCACATAAGATTTAACAAAAGAACATCCCAGTCAAAGCCTTAAGCTCGGTAGCGATGTGACTGAGCTACCGTTTTAGCTCAGAGCAAGATAAGATAAGGTAAATGTGCTGCACACTGCCTGCTCTGGCAGGGACAATGTATGTATACTGCACATAATGAAATCTAAACCTCAAATGTGTACATACAATGAAAGATGTATGTTTGTATAGATCTGACAGAGACAAGGACAGATGATAAATGACAGGCCCGCCCTCTCGTCAGAGAGGACGCCACGTGACGTACTGTAACGGTCATTTGGCCGAACAGAGATTCGACGCGAAGACAGACTGCCTGACCGTCAGTTGTAAAGTGACTTGAACTTCGGCGTTCAATACGAAACCTGAGCACGTGGGGAGGTACGCTCAGTACTACCCGTGATTATTCTTCATGGCCTCTCGTTTGTGGGTGAGTTCACATTCCTATATTGCCTCACAAAGGGGTGTCTAGGTTAGTTGTGGACACGTGACGTCATATTCCTGACACTGAGTTGTGATACTAACTTGCAGACAAACATCCGGTAGCATCTAAGATGCCTTCGTATAAAAATTATCTGAAATACTTTGGTGTAGTGAAAGTGTCTTGTAGTGTTGTTACAGATACACTGTGGTGCTATAAAAATCCGGAGTTGTTTTCTGCGTGTCTCGAGTATTGTGTATGTTTTTCATTTGAATAGTAGTTGCGGACCAGTGAAGTTTACGTTGCTTCAGAGAAAGTTCCCCACTACTTTCCCCTACATTCCCCTATCACGCCGCCCAGAGGCCATGAAGAATAACACGGACTATACCATCCGCAGTTCCCTTTCACTAGACGCCCAACCACTCTTAACCAATGGCATTCGGCGGATGTGTATTGATGAACCGGATGAATGCATAAACGGCAGAAGTCCGTGACACGCTGTAAGACCTAATAATTACAACCATCAATTCTGAAGCTTGTAGCAGTTTAACAGTTTGAAGATTGCTGTCTTCTGGGTTGTTGCGCCGTGTAGTCTGGTTTCAGAGGTCCATGCTGCCTCCATCATCAGGGCGATGAAGACAGCAATCTTCAGATTAATCGCCGTGAAAACCTCAAATCCTATATAGTTTAACGGTTGCTAAGCCTCACCAATACGGCAAACATTGATGCAAATTATACACTATATTAAAAAAATTAAATACAGAAATTGAATATTATCAAAACGTCAGAGAATGACATGTGATCGGTTTCATCGAAGCTAAAGGAAAGTTCTGAAGACCAGGTAATCTAGAAGCTCCCAGTGAATCTTCTGTGTTGCTTCAATGCAATACCTGGCGTGGTTACGACATGTGTCACAGGGTGGACACCAAGTTGTTCTCAGGCCAAAAGTATTTATTACTTCTGAGGCAGGGTGCACGCCTCAACATTATACACGATCCGTGTTATTGACTTACGTCGAAGTGAAGGTACTTCAAAGCATCTCTTTGCCTGTTTGTTGTTCCTGATGAGTGTCTGTCCTCGCAGAGATATTTCTCGTCGTCGCGGGACTCCCTCGCGGCTGCCTATGTGAACCGGGCTGCTGCCGTCTCATCTACCGCGTCCGAGCTGGACTTGAGCCGAAAGACTCGACGCCGAGACCTTAGGGGACGCCTCAAGCTGCCACCTACCGTCGCTTTAGCGTCCTCAGTCTGTGGTAACGAGCCGCCACTGATTGGACACTGGGGACATCGCGGTGCATCGGGCGGTGGACCTGGTGGCACAGGTACTTTTCGTCAGTCACCTTGTGGCTGGTCTCTTGTTCGTTTCTCTGAGACTTGTGATGGAACATACAGAATGCAGTTGTTTCAGATCCATGTTGAACGAATGAAGACGACTTCTCTAGTCTCTAATATGCTCTGTACTTTTCCACTCGTCCTTGCATTGAAGGCCCGTGTCTTTAGGATACTCGTAGAAGAAATACTCACTTGGAAGGAAACTCGATTCGCTGTTCTGTTCCAGGACCCGATTCGAGCAATCAGAACGGTAATTCCTGTGGCGGTGCCAATGGTTACCACACTCGCCGGCTAGGCTACTATCCTCGCTTCAGGGCCGGCGCGCCCAACTGGTCCTTCGTGTTTGACCCCGCGGGACGCCTCTGTTACTACTGGTCCATGGTCGTGTCGCTTGCCTTCCTGTACAACTTCTGGGTCATCATCTACCGATTCGCCTTCCAAGAAATCAACGGTTTGTGGCGTCCACGTATTTACGAGTACATAAGGATAAAATTCAAATTTTTCGGGGACGAAGCTGACAAGTCAGAATGACATTTATTACGAAATCAGGAGGAGATTAAATTCAGGAAATTCTTGCTGTCATTCAGTTCAAAATCATTCATCCTACCGTCTCATATCAAAAAATCTAAATATTAAAATATACAAAAGTGTAATTTTGCCAGTGGCGCTGTATGGGTGCGAAACTTGGTCTCTCACATTGAGGGAGGAACATAGATTGAGAGTCTTTGAGAACTGAGTGTTGAGGAAGATATTTGGACCTAAAAGGGAGGGAGATCTTGGAGAAAGTTTCACGGCCTGTACTCCTCACCTGGTATTGTTAGGTTGGTTAAATCGAGGAGGATGAGATTGGCGGGATATGCAGCACGCATGGAGGAGGGGAGGAGTGTTTACAGGTGTTTGGGAGGCTTGAAGTGTGGAGACCGACGTAGGCTTTGAATGTAATTCACTAATCTTTCATCCATTTCTCATGTCATACAGTAAGGCAATGCTCGTGTGTGAATTTATTAAAAGAACGAAGACATGGAAATGAATTTGTGAAGAGTTAGGTCTGTCCTGATACCGAGCCAATTATTTACTTAGGGAGGCTGTCATTAGCTCAGGGATGTTTATAAGGATTCGATCCTTAGCACTAGTGGGATAAACATGATAATTTTGCTTTAAAATATAATGAAATAAATAGGTTTGAACCACGGACGTTTGTCGCAAGGACTGTGAAATTCCTTAAGTCCACAACATAGCCTAATATATTTCGGATAAGCCAAGTAGCTTTGATCTTTTGTAGTGCAATAAGACTTGGTGTTCCTTGTTTATTTAGTGACGTCAGTTTGAAGGTCCCTTGTTCTGTTTGCAGGTGAGACGATAGTGGTGTGGTTCTGTCTTGATTACCTCGCCGACTTCCTGTACCTAATCGACATCGTGTTCCACTTCAGAACGGGTTATCTCGAAGACGGCGTTCTTCAGACAGACTCGACAAAGTTACGTAACCACTACATGAACTCCACCACGTTCTACATCGATTGCCTCTGTCTTCTGCCGTTAGATTTCCTATATCTTTCGATAGGTTTTAATTCTATACTTCGTTCGTTTCGTCTTGTTAAAATCTACAGGTTCTGGGCTTTCATGGACCGTACAGAGAGACACACAAATTATCCGAATCTCTTTAGATCTACGAGTTTAATACATTATTTGTTAGTGATATTCCACTGGAACGGTTGTTTGTATCATATAATATACAAGAATAACGGGTTTGGTAGTAAAAACTGGGTTTATAGTGACAGTGAAACTGCAGACGTCGTGAAACAGTACCTGCAGAGTTATTACTGGTGTACTTTGGCGCTGACCACGATCGGAGACTTGCCTCGGCCGCGTAGCAAGTTCGAATACCTTTTCGTCATCGTCCAGCTGTTCTTCGGACTCCTCCTGTTCGCCACTGTACTGGGTCACGTGGCCAACATCGTCACGAGCGTCAGCACGGCCCGCAAGGAGTTCCAGGGTGAGTACTCGAGACCCACTGGACGCACTAGCGAACAGTTTAAATGTTAATGTAAATTTCAGTCGTTCTTAGAATTAAGTTATGTGTTATAAATTAGCTGATGCAATTGTTCTTAGTGAGAAAATTGTTAGAAACGGATTGTGAGATTTGAGGTTTTCACAGCGATGAGTATGAAGATTTCTGTCTTCTGGGTTGTTGTCGATATTCATCGCCCTGATGATGGAGGCAGTATGACCTCCGAAACGTTGGTTAACATCGACCAGACTACACAGCGCAACAACCCAGAAGACAGGAATCTTCATACTAAGAATCGCCCTGATGATGGAGGCAGTATGACCTCCGAAACGTTGGTTAACATCGACCAGACTACACAGCGCAACAACCCAGAAGACAGGAATCTTCATACTAAGAATCGCCCTGATGATGGAGGCAGTATGACCTCCGAAACGTTGGTTAACATCGACCAGACTACACAGCGCAACAACCCAGAAGACAGAAATCTTCATGGAAACGGATTCTTTACGAGCGGATTAATGATTTCCGAATAGGATAAACAGACTTTTAAGTTCTTTCGTAATGAAGATATCAAATGCCTGTGTTTGTAGAATTTCGGAAAAAGATTTCATTGTGGTTGAACGCAGGTTTGATGCGCCATTTTGTTACTCAGGACAGTTCGATTCAAGTACATCGCAGAGCAAATTAAGACAAAAAACATATTTAATCGGATTTGAATTATAATGTATAAAGTTTATTAAACCTTTTCTATTTATTACGTTATTTGAATCGTGTTTTTGGTATTTAAATTGGAAATATCAGTTCAATGTTGGAACCTTCAGACATCTGATGCTTTTTTAAAATGGCCGTCAAAGTTTATTCCATTTTTAATTCTGTTGTTAAGGGATCTTGTGGTACTGGTGTCAAATTCAGCGTCTTCATTATGAAATTTCTAAAAGTTTTAATTAAACTTTTGTGAGAGACGTGGTTTGTTTCAGGCGATTAAATTTCAAGCGCGTAGGTAAAACTGGACCCAAATTGTATTCGCTTACAAACTGCTGTCTTAAGTTATTTAATAACTATATTATAGACCAAAAGCTTCTTTATTACGGTTACATGTGGTTATAAGTCCTGTAATTATTGCAGGTTTAAAGTGTTTAACGAAAGTTTCTTGAGAGTAAATTATTTTGTCTGAATAGATCGCTCGTTACAGTGGGACCATTTCAGATAAATTCAATTATCGGTTGAATACATCACGTAGGCCTAAGGGTAGATTTCTATTTAAAAGCAGTTTCATTAGTACAAATATAGTTTTTGCATGAATTTGCATTTTAATCTGACAGCGTTTGTATGCAACGAACAGCCCGTTGAAGTTTCGTGTAGATTAGAACAGGTAAATTATGTTTTAACCAGATGACAGCATAGATTCATTTTAAGTTGGTGAAATGAACTCGGTTTATCTGCAGCATAATTCGAATGTAATTCTATGTCTGAGCGGAACTGCATTAGTAGGAACGCCATTATAAAATGTTTGGATAAATATTTTCCCAGATATGGTATTTTAGTGCTGATATTTGTATTTATAAATAATCGTTATTTTATTTGTAATGAATATTCGTGGATATTAATAGGTTGTTTTTTTTTTTGCTGTGATTTGATTGACGTTGAGAGAGATCATCATAGTTGAATGTAATACTTTTTAAACCTGTATTATATACTATAAAAATCGATATCTGCTTCGAGTAAATATCGAAATATATGTATTTCAGTTTAAACTGCTTAGTTGTTTAGTTAATCGATTTCGTGCTCTGTCTATCCGGCAGGAAGTCATGTTCAAACAGCAAATTTCTCTTTCTGGAGAATTTGCCCCTTAAGTAACGAACTACGTAAAGAAACATTAAAATATATTCCGAATTTCGTCAGAAAGTCAACATTTCAAACTTTAAAAGAAAACGTGAAATCCGATTTGTCACTGTTAAGACAACGTTAAGGAGACAATAATATATACTTATGAGTAAATTAAGAATATAATTATTATACTATGTTTACAGACGGACACTTAATTTTCGATTTACGTATTCATTTCCAGAACACTGAGTTTCAGCAATACACAAACTCGGGGGGGGGGGGGTGACCTTGTAAAGACGATAATTAATTTTGACTTTACATAAAGTGCACAGAGTTTTTATAATTCCCTGGCCAACTATGTTTGTCTAGACGGATTTTCCTAAATGGAGTTAATTAATGTTCAGAATACCTAAATTTTATTTCAGACGTCAACGATATAAAAACACAACTCAAGACAACATATTCATGATTTCACTGATTTGAAACACAAAACAGATTTCCCAGTAACAGTTATTCGTCGTTTGTTTTATGACCGCAAATATTTTAATACGGTGCGATTTTTTTTTTTTTTGTAAAGAGAATTAAGTTAACGACTGTTAAATGTGAAGGGTTTTGTATCTGGGATGCTGTGAAAATTAACCGGTTCTATCGTATGAATACGTGTTAGCATTATGACGGAAGCTGGTATACAAAAGGCTTATGTATGTATGTGGAGGCCCAATCATGACTCCATTGTGTGACGTAATCAGACCTTCACGCTTCAGCTGTTCAACGCAACAAATGAACGTCTAAACGCGTTACTTTATTTATTCTATAAAACACAGGGCACTTCTAACGTAAGCTTTCGAGTACAGCCTGCTTTATTAATAATGCCATGACACTTAATATAGGAGCTTTTACTTAAGATAATGTTGATTCGTTCTTAGAATACTGAAAATGCGAAGTACATCCTTTGTCGAAGAGCCACAGTTAGGTTAAGGGTCATAGGACCTGACCTTATTCAAAGCCATTTTAATTCGGGCCAGAAAAAGTATTCAGTACGTGTTGTGTGGGAATACGAAAACAAATTTAAACTTTCATGTCTAAAGAAATACAGCAATTTCTCATAAACCACGGGCGTTATGTCCACACAAAAAAAAAAAAACATAGCTGATGGAAACACTGAGATATTATGGGAAATTTTGTGCCTTTGTTAACAAACAAGGAGACTAGGAATGTCTTCGTCGGATTACACAATGTTTACAAACATGTATTTTACGCCGAACATTGATGCACCTATTTAAACGTTTATAAGAATAGCAATTATTAATTAAAAAAATCTTCCATTCACGATCATTACTGTTTGCATGTAAATGTTATAAGAATAGCAATTATTAATTAAAACAATCTTCCATTTACATGTAAATTTTTGTCTTTTTAATTCGTAGAAGCGATATATTTGTATTTCAGTGCACATAATTCGTGTGTTTTTAAATTAGTTTGCTACCTTCAGTAAAATACACTTTCTTCTGTGGTCTTATAATTCATCGACAGACTGCAGCATAAGATTTCTTCTTATAACAAATAGAAGACAGACGGTCATCAATTTATCATTCGTTCCCGAGAATTATTGATAGTTCCGTCAAGACGGAGGAACATGGATGGTCCTCCGAACAAGTCTCTTGTTGTAAAATACGTATTGACGGGAATGACTGGCGATTATATTGTCAACAGCTTCATGCGCATACCAAGCTCATCACATGTTATAGCGTAATCATCGTTTAACTCCACTAAATTGAGCATTGATAGCGTTGGTTTTACCGATTGTATTAAATATTTTACCACTGTGGTCCTGACTCGAGTGGTATAATCGTACCAAACACACCGATTCTGTTTTTAAAAGTTAAGTTTCCTGGCTTCAGAAATGTTTAAGTATGCAGTGAATCATGCATTATATGAACCTTTAGCGCAGTAAAACTGATTATATATTCAGGTAAAGTGATATTACTACATATTACGAACGTGTCTCTTGTGTCTGTGCGGAGGGATACATTAGTTGAAGTGTGCTGGTATTTATACGTCACGATCAACCTAAAATTGAATTAGCTCTCCACATCTTAGACACTTCCGCCTTGGATTGTTATTGTGTTCTCAGTGTCTTCCCTATTATCATGAATTCTAACATGGTGAGTGGGGGGAGAGGGGAATTTGTTATGGTTGCCTGTTATCTAAGCTGGAATGAGGCATAGTGTGAGATTCAATAAAATTTGAATTATACAAAAGGATTTTGAAACTTCTTCAACTGATGCAATCTTTTATTTCTGTGGGTTTTTTTTTTAATTTTTTTGTTAGACAAATATTTGAAAGCCCGAATATCATTTATTTGTATCCGGTATGACTCATTTCTTTATTACGCCGTCTCCTTTACAGGAGGTTGGCGACATTATGAACAGGATCCTTCCCTCCTTTTCTCGGCCTGGGACCTGTTCATATACGTTCTTGGCAGATGATCCAGAGGTGGTTTGCCATTGCCTTCTTCTGTGTGTGTGAATGGAGTAATTGTTGGGATGCCATGGAGGAAAACTCCGTGTTGCCTAGACCACGGCCTTGCCCAACACAAGTTATAAATTCGGGCACCGCCGGGAATCGAACCCGAGACCCCAGGATTACAAGGCCAGCGTTCTAACAGCTAGACCACCTCATCTTATTAATATTAAGTGTTCTGTCTGACGACAGGTCCATTATTCTGCCCAAAAAGAGTTCGCCAGTTTTCCTTGTTTACGCGTACAAAATCAGTTATGGAAGCTCGAATAAAGCGGTTTTTATTTGGAATTACGTACTTTGCAACCATTATGAAGACACCTTTTTGTATTATGCGCTACTTTCAAAAATACAGCATGAAGAACATCAGGCAGAGTTATGGGACCGCCATTAGAAGAATATCAAATGTATTCTAAATTGTTGTTGGCTTTGCCCCCCCTGGAAATGCTTATTTATTTTTATTCATAAAGCATTGCAGCATTCAAATACATACCGGCGAAGGTAACTGTGAGGATACAAGTCACGTTATCCTGCATTAAGGTTACATTTAGATTTATTGACTGTGGAAAGCATTTTGAAAATAGTAGTCAACCTGTTCTTGCTTTCTTTCCGTGTTCCCTTTTCTTTTCCCCCCCCCCCCCACTTACAGAATCTTGTTCTACTCGTACTGATATTTACCTCACACCCATTACAAGTTCGTAAATCCTTTTAGCTCTGTCCTCCACCATAAGAGGGCTACTGTTACCCCTGGAGAATATTTCTGGAGTTCACGCTAGGGCACTTTGTCATCTCTTGTGAATTCCTTCTAAACTACACTG